GATAAAATTGAAACGAAAATATGGATAATCAAATGGCTGAACAATTTTTCTATTTAGCTGATATTTTGCATGGAGAATCCTTGAAAGAGAATTTAAAAACTTGATGGTTATGATATTTTGCCTGGATAATCCTTGCTCTGATTGTAGGTTTTTTCAACTTAAATCACCTTACCAGATTTTTCTCTTTCTTCCAGATTCGTACACTGGGAATGTTGAGATCTCGATTTGAATCACTGCCAGGTGCTTTTAATAATTACTTGATTCCTGTGGAGAAGAATGAGCAGACTAAGAAAAAGGGAATACTAAAAGCCACTTTCTCCCGCAAGTTTGATAAGGTTTGGTCACTGTTCTGCTTGAGAAGTTACCAATATTGATAATGACCTTTATGCACAATTTGGTACATCCCTCGGTTAATCATTGAAAGACCATCATTTGAGTCATTGCACATTGGCTGGTTGTTTCAGAGTGCGTCTAGCAAAGAGAAAGAGGCAGCAAAGTTTGCACAGATGTGGAACGAAATAATCAGCAGTTTCAGAGAGGAGGATCTGATAAGTGATAGGTAAATAATGATGCCAGACAAGGAAATGTTTTCCTCAACTTGAATGAATGTTGAGTTCCATTATTTTACTTTTTGGATTAAATAGTGTGATATTGAAAGCTTGTATTTGTTTTTCAGGGAAAAGAACTTGTTGCTTGTCCCATATGGGGCTGACCCAGATTTAGTAGACCTCATCCAGTGGCCTCCTTTTCTGCTTGCTAGCAAGGTCTATGTTCTCATGAGTAATTTCTTCCATTAGTCTCACCAAGACCAATACATGTATTTACTCTGTACTAATTCTGTAGATCCCAATAGCACTGGACATGGCAAAAGACAGCAAAGATAAAGATCGTGAGCTGAAAAAGAGAATGAGTACAGACAATTATATGCGCTGTGCTATTCGCGAGTGCTATCTTTCATTTAAAAGTATTATTAATTTGTTGGTCCTTGGAGAGCGTGAAAAGAAGTGAGTTCAATACTACTTGAATATGTCTCAGAATAGAAAGAAAACATAACTTCATCTGCCAGACTTTTGTTATCTTCCTGATGACTCCTCTGTCCAGGGTTATAAATGATATCTTCACCATAGTTGATGCGCATATTGCTGAGGGAAATCTGACAACAGAGTTCAATATGAGTGCTCTCCCAAGCCTCCATGAGCAATTTGTTCAGTTGATTGACTATCTGGTATTCTTCTTCGACAGTGAACTTTCACATATTTTTATTGATTAATCAAGATTGGTGCTAGTCCCAACCATATCTTTCTGATGACTACAGCTGAAAAACAAAAAGGAGGACAAGGACCAGGTCGTAATTGTCTTGCTTAACATGTTAGAGGTTGTGACAAGGGACATAATGGAGGATGAAATTCCCACGTAAATGATTTGGAATCTGATATCTCAACTAGGTTAATATTTTGATTTTGTTCCCCTCAATCCTCCATTCATTTCTTTTTCATGCAGCTTGCTAGATTCAAGCCATGGGGGAACTTATGGGAAAGATGAGGGAATGACACCCCTTGATCAACGGGATACATATTTCGGTGAACTGAATTTCCCAGTGCCAGTGACCCCAAAAACAGAAGCTTGGAAAGAAAAGGTATGTTTCATTTACAATGTTATGATTTCAGTGCTGGATTAGCTAGTCATCACGACCTGAATATTAATGTTAGTGCATTGACCTTTCATATCTGTTTTCTCAGTCTGAATGAGTTTCGTAAAAGTTACATGTAATAAATTTCTCCTGTGTGTGAGTCCATTATCTTCCATAGATCAGAAGGCTTCATCTATTGCTTACGGAGAAGGAGTC